TAATGCAGTTGTATTTGGGAGTGTAGTCTATCTTGTTGGCCATTTAGTCTCTATCAGTTCAAGAAAAAGAAATTCTTTGGGGGCGCCTGGGTGGCTCAGTGCGTTAAGCCTCTGCCTTCAGCTCAGGTCATGATCTCAGGGTCCTGGGATCGAGCCCTGCATCGGGCTCTCTGAGCAGCAGGGAGCCTGCTTCCCTATCTCTCTCTTTCCCTCTGCCTACTTGTGATCCCTCTCTGTCAAATAAATAAATAAAATCTTTAAAGAAAAAGAAAAAAGAAATTTTTTGAATTATTCATGCAAAAAAGAAAAGGCAAACCTTAAGTAACAGGTCTCAGAAAGATGAGACATCTGAATATCTCCAGGAATTCAGGTAGCAGTTTCATCAGGGCCCTACTGCTACATGCATACCAGATAGCCAGGGTTATGTTTATTTGTTTCACTAAAGAGGATAAATCAGAAAGAGCAGCTGCATTTAGGGTCACCATTTGAATATAATCCATTGTCATTTTCCAAGAGCAATCAGACTTTCTACCCCCTGCTTTCTTGTTTTAATGGTGACAGCTAATCTTTGTGATTCTCTGAGAGATGAAGTAATGCTTTTAGTTTACTATTTTGGAGGAGAGTATCATTAGTGGGATGCTCCAAAATCTTACACTTGGCCTTTTCTACTACAATAGACTTACTCATCTATCAATTAAGAGCTATGAGGGGAAACTGTTCACTGCTGCAGTTATTTGGGGACTAAACTACCTGTGGGATAGGTTTGGGGTTCCACAGAATTTGAGGTGGACTGGATTCATTGTCTTATTTAGTACTTGACCTCCATGAGTCTTAGCTCCTGACCAGTGGATTGTGGTTTTGTTCTGCAGCTCCAGATTTATCTTAGAGCCATCCTTCAGTGATTACTCAGTGATGTATTTCTCTTTCCTCTGCATAAGCTACACGGGAAAATGGCCACATACCATTTTGAAGAAGATTAACAGTACTCCTTTAACTAAATATGGAAGATTTTTTTGGTTTTTGTTTTGTTTCTTGCTTTGTTTTGGTCCTTTGAATCAAATAAGGCCTTGTGAGTGACCATTCTGGAGTTCCATTTTTTCTTCTGCCTTGTTGTCAGATAGGTAAGGTAACCCTACCAACTTTGCTTTGGGTTGTTAACTGCTCCTGTCTGATCTGTCACCTCAGGGTTCTCCCATCCTCACACAGATCAAAGAACCAATTTTAGTTTCAGCCTCTTTTGTTCGTATTCCTTGCCTAGAGAGGAGTCAATAAAAAATGTTTAAAAGATTTTGGTGTTTACATGATTACTTCCATAAGCATTTAAGTTGAAGAAGGTCATCTGAATCTTTCTTGGGAATGGAAATATGGGATTCATATGCATGTAATAGAGTAATTATTTCCTCTCTTTCACTGTGTTTGTTTTCTGGAGCTGCTGTAACAAAGTTCCAAAAATTGGTTGTCTTTAAACAAAAGAAATTTATTGTTTCAGTTTTGGAGGCCTAAAGTTCAAAATCTAGGTGTTGGCAGGGCCATGCTCTCTCTGTACTCAACTCTGAAAGCTTTAAGGGAGACTCTTATCTTGCCTCTTCTAGCTTCTGATGTATACTGGCAATCCCTGGCATTCCCTGACTTGTAGATATGTCATTACTCTTGTACTTTGCATCTTCTCCCTATGTGTCTTTACATCATCTTCCTTCCGTGTGTTTGTCTTTGTGTTAAAGTTTTCCCTTTTTATAAGAGCATTAGTCATATTGGGTCAGGGCCCACCCAAATGACCTTATTTTAATTTAATTACCTCTGCAAAGTCCCTCTTTCCAAATAAGGTCACATTCTGAGGTACTGGGTATTAGGATTTCAAATATCTTTTTTAGAGGAACACAATTGAATCCATAATCCATCATCCCAAATCATATCAGTCAGTCATAACAAATTTGTTGTTTTTCAGAGTCATATGGCCTTTTAAAAAGGCCAGGTCTGAGTCTAGGTTTGCATTATATGACCCAGAAAAGTTTTATAACCACAGTTCTAAGCTAGTATGCTGACTACAGACTGTCTGCTTATTTGCCCACTATTTCTTTATTGATAAGGTTAGCCTTATCTTACCACTGTATAACATGGGCTGTTTGTTACCATCTGGACTGTTCCATAACTAATTGACATTTTTCTGAGGGATAGTGCCCTACAAGCTATTTGTGATACAAGTTATATATTACAATTCTTTGAAAGTAACACTAACTTGGTCTGCATTAAGGAAGGAAAAGAACAGGGGAATTATTGGAAGGACATTCAGTAGGTCACAGAATTAATTGGAAGACTAAACCAGGTCTCAGAGTGGACAGAACCAGGGTACCTCTGGGGCTCTAGGTGATAGGAACTAGTGGACACTCATTGAAAGGTTTTAGTCTGTGGGATGGATCAGCTCCACAATTTTCTGGGATTATGCCTTTCTAAGATGCAGATATCTGAAAGAGTCTCACCTAGTTTAGGTCATTTGCCCTCTAGGCTAGAACAAGCAAGTTTTTCAGTTGCATTAGAGAAAGACTGCTTGCAGTGGAGGCTGTGTACTCCAGAACAGAATTGGGTTGCTAGTACTAGGAGGAGGGATGGGGGGCTGGACAGGTGCACACTATATTTAGTACTATTAATAAGGGCTCAAGTGAAAGCCATATAGCTTTATGCTTCATTTGGATTATTCCCTCAGGGAAAAAAAATACTCAAAGCTGAATCATTTGTTTAAAGGATGTAGATCTTTTGATGGTTGTGGTACTTGTTTTCAAATTGCTTTCCTGAAAGCTTTTACATCTCCATACCACTTTGGCATTAGAATTCTGTAACAGCTCTTAGCATAGTGATTTAGGAGTATGTTACACTGCCTGGGTTTGAATCCCAGATTTTCCAGTTACTATCTATATGACCTTGGGTGAAGCTTCTTTGATCTGGAGCATCCTCATCTCTAAAATAGAGATGATGATAGTACTTCCCTCCTGAGAGTTACATAACTTGGTACGTATTATTTGGTACATGGTAATAAGTACATAAGTACTTCAAGTTTTAAATTTATCACAAAAACATACACATTCTGTACTTATTTATAGTAGTTTTATTTAGAAGTTTCATCTTTTTTTTTTTTGAAAGATTTTATTTGACAGAGCATGCACAAGTAGGCAGAGGGAGAGGGAAAAGCACACCCCCACCCCCACTGAGGAGCGAGCCTGATGCAGGACTTGATCCCAGGACCCCAACACCAGAATCACGACACGATCATGACGCTTAACCGACTGAGCTGTCCAGTCGCCCCTAGAAGTTTTGTACTTTTGTTACAAAATTTATTTTTCTTTGTTTTAATGGCTCATACATATTTCTTACTAAAAATACTTTCTGTAAGTTAGAATTCATGTACTGTCTCATATGCTTCTCAGTTTTTTGTTGTTGTTGTTTTTAAGATTATTTGACAGAGCGAGCACAAGCAGGGGGAATAGGAGAGGGGAAGCAGACTCACCACTGAACAGTGACAGGATTCCCTGGATCCCAGGATCCCAAGATCATGACCTGAGTGGAACGCAGATGTTTAACTGACTGAGCCACTCAGGCACCCAATATGCTCCCGGTTTTAAGAGATTTATTTGTAAGTCATTTTTTAAAAATTAAAAATTTAAAATGTAAAGTGGAAAACAAAAATTATAAAGATGTCTATTCCTTAATATATAAATTTATTGCAGTTTTAATCAGATATTCAACAAGGTTTGTTTTTTTAAAGATTTATTTGAGAGAGAGAACACGAGTGCGAGAGGCAGAGGAAGAGAGAATCTCAAGCAGATTGCACAGTGAGCACAGAGTCAGATGTAGGACTTGATCTCACTCACGACCCTGAGATCACAACCCGACCTGAAACCGAGTCAGGCAGTTAAATGACTGCACTGCCCAGGCACCCCAGGGTTGGTTGGTTGGCTGGTTTGTTTTTTAATTTCCAAGTTGCTTCTAAAGTTTATTTGGAAAAATTCTTGAGTATTGAGAAAGAAGAATAATTGGGGGATACTTAAACTCCCAATTATTGAAAAGAACCGTAAATAGAATAGTAGGATGAGTCTAGAAATAGATCTGAGGCAAAATGTAGCATATGATGAAAGGTGACTTTTCAAATGAAGAAAGCATGGATTTTTTTCAGTATTTTAAGATCATTGCAGAAAATCTCTTTGTACATGTTAGGGCTTTTGACCAAAAAATGTGATTTAAATATTAATATTGTATCTTTGAATATCTCCCCTCCCTTTTTTAAGCTCTTTTTCTTCTTTTCCATCTTGTAGGTGCTTTTTGCATACAGTTGGTTAGTTTTAGGTAAATTTTATTTTTTGAATGTGCCTAAAACCCTTTCTTTCTGGGAGTTCACCTCCTTAATTTATTGTGATAATAGATTTTTATCTTTTTGGGTTCTTAGCTGCAGAAAAAAAAAAATTCTGTTTTAGCTTGCTTGAAAAGAAAAGGTTTTAGCAAGATCTGTAATTAACCCACAAGATAACTGAAAGGGCTGAAGAAACATTCAGCATACTCTAGGCTAAGCTTTCTAGGAATAATAATATCTGTAACCATACTGGGAAATTAGATGGGCTTGGGAGCTGTGTGCTGTGATCTATGCCTGTATAATTGATGCCTTCTTCCTGCTTCCTTTTTTTCTAACTTTAAACAAATTGTGAAATATAGCATACATATAGAAAAGGCCATAGAACGTAAATGTACACTTCAATGAAGAGTTGTAAAATGAACACCATCTGGTTAAGAAAGAGAGCATTGCCTGTACTATAGAAGCTCCCATATGTCTTTTCTCATCTCATATTTTTAATCTTCTCTCGGGGTAACTGTCATCCTGACTTGTGGTGATAGTTCTGTAGGGGTTTACTTGTTTTCTTTTCTTTTAAAAGGTTTTATTGATTGATAGCCTGTGGGGTGGGGCAGAGGGAGAGGGAGACAGAACGTTAAGAGAGAGAATCTTAAGCAACCCAGACGTGGGACTGGATCTCAGGGCCCTGAGATCATGACCTGAGCCCATATGAACCATGCAGCTCCGAACATTCTTATATTATGTGTGTACATGTACATTAATTCATGATCTATGTCTAGGGATAGTGAGTAATCGAAGTGTACACATATCTTCATTTTTGATAATGCCTAGATGTTTTCTGCAGTGGTTAAGTCAGTTTATACTCCCAAGAGTAGTTGATAGAACATGTTCCACATTCTTAATCACAGTTTCTATTGTCAGACTTTAATTTATGCAGTCTGATAATTATATAGTGGTATCTCATTGTGGTTTTTAATTTCTATTTCCCTGCTGATTAAAGAAGCCGGACACCTTTGCGTGTTTTTTTTTCCTCTTTGGATTTCCTGTTTTGCAAAAGGCCTGTTCGAGCATTTTGTCCATTTTTCTGTTGCATAGTTTGTCTTGTTGGTTTGTTTTGTAGGAGCATTTTTATATTCTGGATACCATCTTTGTGGTGTGTTATTATAAACTACATTCTGTGACTGTCTTTTCACTCTAGTAATAGTATCTTCTGATGAACAGAAATTCTTTTTTTTTTTTCCTTAAGATTTTATTTATTTATTTGACAGCGATCACAAGCAGGTAGAGAGGCAGGCAGAGAGAAAGATGGGGAAGCAGGCTCCCTGCTGAGCATAGAGCCGGATGTGGAGCTTGATCCCAGGACGGTGAGATCATGACCCAAGCTGAAGGCAGAAGCTTAACCCACTGAGCCACCCAGGTGCCCCTGATGAACAGAAATTCTTAATTTTAATGGTAGTATAGCTTCTTAATCATTTTCTTTATATGGCTAGTCCATCCTTTGTCTTTAGGACGTCCCTTCCTATTCTGAGGTCGTGAGTATACCTTCCTGTATTTTCTAAGCTATTTTAGCTTTGCTTTTCATATTGTCATTTAATGTATCTGGAATTTTTTTGTTTGTTTTGTTTTTTTGCTTGGCATCAGAGACCCAGAATGTTTAGTTTATTATTTTGTTTTGTTTTGTGTAATCTTGTTGCAATTCCATATACCAAAGTCAATCTTTTTTTTTAAAAAGATTTTATTTATCTATTTGACAGATGGAGATCACAAGTAGGCAGAGAAGCAGGCAGAGAGAGAGGAGGAAGCAGGCTCCCCGCTGAGCAGAGAGCCCGATGCAGGGCTTGATTCCAGGACCCTGGGATCATGACCTGAGCTGAAGGCAGAGGCTTTAACCCACTGAGCCAGCCACTCAGGCGCCCCCCCCCCCCTTTTTTTTTCCTTTTTGAGATTTTATTTATTTGAACGGGAGGGAAGGGGCAGAAGGAGAGGGAGAAGCTGACTCCCTGCTGAGTAGTGAGCCTGACCCTGAGGTTCAATCCCATAACTGCTTGAGCCACCCAGGTACCCCCGAAAGTCTTTTCTCTACTAATCATATATCAAGTGTTTAAAAATGCATGGGTCTGTTTCTGTGCTCACTGTTCTGTTCTTTTGGTCCACTAGTTTACAACTTTTCTATAAAGGTCTTGTTAGAGATTTGTTAGCACTATTCCCAGATACAGTATACCTTTTGCTGCTATTGTGAATGGTATCTTTTTTAAAAGTTACATTTTGTAATTTTTTGTGGCGGGCTTATGGAAATAACATTGTTTGTTTGTTTTTAAATATAACAATGTCTATATTCAGTAACCTTACTGAACCTTATCAGAGCCAGTAATCTATAAATGCTTTTGATTCTTCCGCAGATGTTTTCTTGGGGGCCATTTTCTCTTTGTATAATCTTGACGCCTCTTAGGCTATTTGCTTTTCTTAAATAATGATCATAACAATAAAAACTAACATTTATTGAGCACTTACTATGTGTCTGGTACTGTTGCAGGTCGTTTACATGCGTAAATTTATGAATTTCTGGCTTCATTAATATTGGTAGCCATTCTTTTTCCCTCAGCAATTGTGAGGGTCATTATTTCATTACTGCAGGCAGCCCTCTGCTGTGGTGACAGGGCATTCTGTAGGGTGGATTCCATCTGCAGGATGAGATGAGATGCGCTTTAGGATTCAAGAAATGTCTTTTCAGCTATGTAATGTTGTAAAGAAAAGAAGTCTAGGGGCGCCTGGGTGGCTCAGTGGGTTAGGCCTCTGCCTTTGGCTCAGGTCATGATCTCAGGGTCCTGGATCGAGCCCCAAATTGGGCTCTCTGCTCAGCAGGGAGTCAGCTCCCCCCGCCTTTGCCTGCCACTCTGTCTACTTGTCATCTCTGTCTGTCAAATGAATAAATAAAATCTTATTATTATTTTTTTTTAAAGGAAAAGAAAAGAACTCCAATTAGTCTGACTATGCTAGAGTTGCCTTGTGGCTTTGAAAGTTGTGTGGTACCCCATCCAGTTTTTTAGGCCCTTTTTCTTCTGCCTCATCTTGGTTGAGACCCTCTTGTCTCTATCAACAGATGCATCACTTCCCTTAAGAGAGGTTATTCTAGGGACACCTGGGTGGCTCAGTTGGTTAAGCCGCTGCCTTCGGCTCAGGTCATGATCCCAGGGTCCTGGGATCGAGTCCACCATCAGTCTCCTTGCTCGGCAGGGAGCCTGCTTCTCTCTCTGCCTCTGCTTGCCACTCTGCCTGCTGGTGTTTGCACTTGCTCGCTATCTCTCTCTCTCTCTCTCACAAATAAAAAAATAAATAAAATCTTAGAGAGAGAGAGAGAGGTTATTATAGGAACTGGTCACTTAGGAACTAAAATATTGTACTTTTTACTGTACAGGAACTAAAATATTGTACTTTTTACTGTACAGAGTTTAGGCATTGACCTAGCTCCTGCAGTTTTAAATAAATCTGCCAAGCTTCTACTGTCCATTCCTATCTCAGCCTTTGCCACTGTCTCTGAATTAGAGCTTTTCAGGGACTGTTAAGAGGGAAAACTGATGTATTGCCTTTACAATTGTGCTTTTCACTTATATTGGACTACAAGTTTTGTATTCTGATTTTTCCCTTAGTATAATTCCATTTCTTTAAGATTCCAGGGTTTCCTCAGATTTGTGTATGACTTTCCTCCGTGTTTCATGACTGCTGTGGACTTTTTCTAATATTTATATTCTGTTCTTTCAGTGGGATTTTGGTGAGGAGCCTTTGTCAGTTGTTTGGATTCAGTTGGCTATCTTAAGCTGTAAATTGTAGTTTAATATTACAGAATATTTTAGAATTATTAAATGATGAATGTGATTAGTCAATATAAGATTTTGGAATTAAATATTTCAGATCTCTGCCACTTAATATTTGAGTTATCTTAAACAACTTTAACTATTCAAACTACTGATTCCTCATCTGTAAAAGGAAAATAATGGGACTAATTTTACCAATCTTATAGGTTTAATGCAAGTATTATTTGAGATAATACATGTAAAGCTCTTAGCATGGAACCATAGATTTTGAATGTCTAAAATAGCTATTTCAAAAACAAATCAAGTAGCTTTTCCTAAAAATCTTTTAAAAGAGAGATTAATAAATAGATGCTAAGCTACAGAAAAAAAAACAACAAACAGCTCTGAACACATACCTGCCACTAAATGTAGTTGGGACTAAGAGATGTGGAACTAGTAAATCTGTCCTGTAATATTTTTCCCCTAGGATTGGTTTGATGGTTGTAATAAAATTATATTATTTATAAAATTAACTCATTAATATATTGATGAAGAAATGAACACAAGTTCTTTTTTAATAGCTTTCAAAATGTTCTTAAAATTTATCCTATGCTAACTCAAGTTTTAACATGCTAATTCAGCACACATTGCTATTTTTATTATGATACCATAGTAATGTTTATGTCTGGAAGAGTAAAATATTTTATTTTTTATTACAGCAGAATGGCCAAAGACTATGACAGGTCTTCCCAGCACGTCAGGGACAACTGCCAGTGTGGTCATCATACGGGGCATGAAGATGTATGTAGCTCACGTGGGTGACTCAGGGGTGGTTCTTGGAATTCAGGATGACCCGAAGGATGATTTTGTCAGAGCCGTGGAGGTGACACAGGACCATAAGCCAGAACTTCCCAAGGAAAGAGAACGAATCGAAGGACTTGGTGGGAGGTAATCATTGTGCTGTTTTGTCTTTCCTCTCTTGGTTCTATTTTGTTCTTTTCTGCTTTACTAACTAGATTGACCTATTACTAATCCCTTTTAGTGAAGTTACTTTTTCAGTATTACAAGTTTTTAGTTTTCCTGATAAAGTACTGATCTGTATTCATATTTATGTCATTATTTTGAGCTGACTGTTTTATTTCTGATAATGGCTCCAGAGGGAAATCATATTTTAATGGGAATCAAATAATACATACAAAGATTTATTGATCACCTTTTACATAAATACTGAAGCATGACTTTCAGGATCTGGACAGAGCAGCCTTTAGGATTGCAGAGTAGAACAATTTGAATCTGACTTTGCCCCAGACATTTTTTTTTTTTTTAAGATTTTATTTACTTATTTGACAGAGATCACAAGTAGGCAGAGAGGCAGGCAGAGAGAGAGAGGGGGGAAGTAGGCTCTCTGCTGAGTAGAGAGCCTGATGTGGGACTCCATCCCAGGACCCTGAGGTCATGACCTGAACCGAAGGCAGAGGCTTAACCCACTGAGCCATCTAGGTACCCCTAATGCTTACAGATTTTTAAAAATCATGGTGTTATGAAAATTTTCAAACATAGGTGAGGGTGGAAAGAGTAGTATAATGATCTCCCACATCTATGGGGAATTTTTTGTAATACGGGTTAATGCTTATTGGTCACAAAATAAACAGGATATAAAACTATATTTGTAGTGTGATTTCAACTATCCAGAAAAATAGGAGTAGTACAGAAATATACCAAATTTTAAAATTTTCTCTATGGGGGCACCTGGTTGGCTCAGTGGGTTAAAGCCTCTGCCTTCAGCTCAGGTTATGATTCCAGGGTCCTGGGATCGAGCCCCGCATCAGGCTCCCTGCTTGCAGGAAGCCTGCCTCCCCATCTCTCTCTGCCTGCCTCTCTGCC